ATATTCAAACATCTGAATGGGGTGTTGATAGATTATCATGGAAGTCAAATAGTGGTAAATTTTAATTTTTTAAAGACGTCAAAATCGGGATTCTTTAAATTGGGAAATTGATCACTTTTAATTAATCTATTCGTTTTAATGTTCATTCTTTTTAATAGGAGCATATGATCATATGACAGAAGAATTTTTCTTATCCAAAGTATTTTCCGAGTCAATGCAACCTTCACACGTAATTCCATATTATTTCCGATCGGAACAGTCCCCCAATGAAGAAGATATAACGATCACAACGCTAATAACGGAAAATCGGTTTCATGTATTTGACAGACTCGTTACAAATTATCAGGGTAAGTAATTAAATGACCTTATTTTTATTTTTATTTTTTATTTTTTTTTGTAATTCAATCTATTACAAAGTATTGAGTATCCATTTATTTTATTTTTTTCTCCTTACTTTCTTTCATAGGACCGATCTCTGTAACGATACATGTTGCTGATGATGAGAATTCTCGCGATGTACTATTAAGCAAACTTCATGAATTGTATAATGGAAATAAATACATGAAACAATATGTTGATGTTCATCTTGTGGTTGATAATTTTGAACGCCAATTCAACATGTGGCGCAATGTAGCAAAGTTTTTTGCTCGTACTAATTATGTCATGATGTTGGACGTGGACTTTCACCCTTGTACAGATTTTAGACATACTATTTTAAATAGTAAAACAATAATGAATAAACTTAGAGAAGGTAATACCGCTTTGGTAGTACCAGCTTTTGAATATGCAGATTTACAAGAAGGCCTTGATTATCGTACCTTCCCAACAAAAAAAGCTGATGCTGTCGAATTAGTTAAATCTGGTCGTCTAGTTATGTTTCATGATTCTTGGAAACCAGGCCACGGTCCATCAAATTATTCTTATTGGTATAAGACTGATGAACTCTACAAAGTTACAACTTATCAATACCAGTATGAACCATATGTAATCTTCCCAAAACAAAGCATATGGTATGAATTCTTTATTTTGGTTTTGATTTTTTTTTTCTAGTTTATTCATATATAAATAATTCATTTCTTTAACATTATTTAGGTGTGACGAACGATTTGTTGGATATGGTGCAAACAAGGCCGCATGTTTATTTGAATTATACCTTTCAGGAGTAAATTATTGGGTGCTTCCAAAAGATTTTTTAATTCATCAGACACATGAATATTTGGAAGACGCACGTAGACATGAGGTAAATATGATTGTATACATATATTTATATTACATATTGAAATTATAATTATAACTTTATAATTTCTATTCCATTAACCTTACAGCGAAGATTCAATAAAAAATTATACGAACATTTCCGTGAAGAATTATGTTTTCGATATGCGAGAAATTTTCTTTTAAATGGTGAATGGGAAACAGTTAAAGCAGAAAATTTAAGATCTACATGTCATAAAATCCGAGGGTTCACACAAGCTATTAAATATTTTGCAGGCTTGAAATGATTTTTAAAAAAATGCGCTATTCTTATCAATTTTTTTCATCATTGGTTTTATTTTTCTTTTATCTGTAAATTTATTTTTTTTTTAAAAAAAAAAAGTATATCATTTATAGTATAGTTCTAGATATTTATTTATTTAATCATGAAAAGACAAAACGAAAGAAAAGAAAAAAACTATACTGTAAGCAAATTCTCGTAGAATGAAAAAAAATAACTTTCTTCTTTGTATTTATAGGTTTTTTGTTTGTTTTTTTTTTTTTTTTTGCATATTTATACAAATTAGAGATTACATACTATATTTTCTGAAACATTTTTTATTAATTTACATCTGATCAAATTAATTAATACCACTAGTAATAAAATTTGCGGGTCATAAATAGTCACGTGGGTTACAAATTATTAGATAATAAATATTCGAGTTGTCAATTTGAATAAAATAATTAATAATATAATTGCTTTATGATTAAAGTATATATAGGTAAATCATCACGAAAATTATGTTGATTTAATGTACTTATTATTATTTTTTTTTTTTTTAAATAAGTGGTGGGTGTAATGATAAATCGAACAAATTAAAATAATATTTTTAAATAATTTTACGGTATTACGTTCCTCAAAATTTTTTTATAAAGAATCACCAAGTTTCGTCCTACCATCCAAATCATCATTTAAAAAGCCTCATCTGTTCATTCCTTCCTGAAATCTTCCCACATTCAATAATTAAAAAACGTTTAATCATTGTTCTCTGACCATTTTATTTTTGATTCCTGTAATAATCAATTTTTAAAATGGGTCAATGATTGATTGTATGACAAAAAGAAAAGTATTCTTTAAATTTTACCGGAAAAGTGGATTATGTAACAAAAAAAACTTGGACTTATTCCATTGGTAGTGTATTACAAAATCTTTGAATGAAAAATTGGATATTTTAATTATCTTATAGTAAATAGGTTTGGGTGTAAAATAATAATCAAGGGGTAAAAATTTTTCTCGGAGGAATTAAAAAAAGTAATAAGCTGAATGAAATGATATAATGATGTCGAAATCCATTCTTTTTTTCTCATCTGAATGGAAAGATCCCGATTGAAAAAAATTAAAAAAAAAATTCAAAGTGTTTTTTTCATTATGCTCCTTTGTTCTTGAGAAGATCAAGTCATATAAAGTAAAATTAGTTTGGGCTTGAGAATATAAAATACATATATATATTTTTTTAAAAAATAATCCCACCCCTTTTTAAAATTTGTAATCAAGTAATTGACAAAATGACTTTATTGGTGAGGAAATGGGGAATCAAAAAGAACTTTTTGTAATTTTTCTCCGAGTTAAAAATAAAAAAAATGAAATTTAGAATTAGAAATCAAAACAAGTAATGATATTTGTGATCTCGGAAGTGGCCCGTGTGAATTTTCCCAACTTCTTTAAACATCTTTCTAAAAAAAGAATCCTATTTTAATTGTTGTGTGTCATTTTGGCAGTCAGAACTCCGAATTCAATATGGAACTCGCGTAAGAGAAAATCACTTTTTCTTTTTTGGAAATCATACAGAAACGTTCCATTTGATTTCCATTATTCATCGTGGCTTGTGTGGCGCGCACAGATTTTTAGGTTGATAAAGGGCTTTCATGCCCGAAACTGTTTATAATCGTATGTGGCTGATTTATTTGTCATTCTAATGGATCTTTTCTTGCATTAATTAATTTATTTCTGAATTATAGTTCGACCCACAAAGTTGATTGAAGATCCTTTGTGGAATTCTCTGATGCAGTTATGTCAGCCACGCGCATCCGATCTGCAGAGTGGCGCAAACCAAGAAATTTTAAGGTCGAACAAGAGCTGCGCGGTAATTTAAACATTAGGCCAAAAATAGAGGTGATTTTAAATAATATAATTTCCTTTTTAAAGTAATCAAAGAAAACTTTACAAAAATGATTCAAGTGCTCAAATGTAGCAAAATCGATTGTCTATGATGAGGATGAACTGTTGTTACATTCTTCAACATTTTTCATCATTTTTCATATTCTTCCTCCGAAAAAATTTTCGCTTATTCGATTATTTTGCTCCCGTTCCTTTTTTGTTTATTCCTAAATTAATGAGCTTTATTACCTTATTTTTCTCCCCTTGGCCTTTTACTGCTCACGATAATTGGTGCGATTATAAATATTGTTGAAAAGAAAAAGAAATTTGATGTTTGTTGTTTACTATTATTGTGTTCCAGAATGTAATAAAAAAAAAAAAACGTATTCAAAGCCATGTGGAATTCTTAAATTGTTGTCATACAAATGTCATTAGGTGAGTGTGTGCCTTATGGATCATCTAATGCGAAAATACATTGCTGCACATTAACATGATTTATTTTAGATAACGGATAATAAACACGATATAACAAAAAAAAAAAAATAAGGGTCAAACCGTCTAAGAATAGTCAAATGAGAAATAAACCAAAGGGAGTAGATATGTAATCAATGAAAACATATGTATATCATATAAATTTTTTGTTTCAGCGATCATTTAATAAATAAATAAATAAATATCTTTGATTTAACTAAAATGAAAGTTAAAAAGTTCAAGTAATCGCATAATATAATTTAAAACAACGCGTTTTTTTTTTTGTTTTGTTTTATTTTTATTTTTTTTTTTCTATTTATATGAATCAAAGAAATTAAATCACCCAAACGCCATACGGTGTATTTATCATTCACATGGAAAAATCTCAATCCGAAATGATTATTATGCCACAAAAAAGTTACCATAATAACCATAAAGATTTGAATGATAATAATCATTTTTGTGTGAACAAAAAGTTTAATGATAAAATTTTGTTATTAAAAATTATTATTTTGTGATGGACAATTGCGCATCATTACGTTTACTATTATATTTATGTATAAATAACCATTGTTAAGAAAAATTAAAAAAAATTTGCATTATCACACACGAATCAGGAGAAAAAAAATTTTTTTTTATATTGTCCCACTCTATTATTAATTATTATACTCATCAAGTATTATTATATATACTAGTATTTTGAACTACCCTGTATAAAATAAAAAAAAACAAAATAAAATATATAAGAGAGGACCACCACCATCATTACCCATTTTAAAATTATTATTAAAAAAAAAAAAAAAAGTCTTTTTTTGAATTGAACTGATAAACCCCCTTTGCTCTCGCATAAAAATATATTCATTCACCTTTTTTCAGCCGTATACATACATTATCGATACGACTACTAATATCAAACAGAAATATATTTTTTTATATAAATCTACCGATTTTTTTCTCAACTCGAATCGAAAAAAAAAGAAAAAAAAAAAAAAAAGAAAATCAAAATAAACATTTTCTTTTGCTTTTGCAACCTTCCTCAATCAATCAATCTTATATTTTTTATTCATCTCTTTAATCTTTATAACAATAATATTTAATAATAATAATAAAAATGTCTCAACAAAAACAAAGCTGGGCTACAACCACAAAAGAATCCCATAAAGGTTCTATAATAACAATGACGGCAAACACAATTTTTGAAAATTTAATCGAGAACGTCGTATTGTTTTTTATGGCGGTGTTTGTCTCACTCTGCGGACTGAACGGCCTCTCTTCTTCCAGCAGTTCAAACTCTAAAGTTGACGGAAGAACTCAATCCGGAGCGTCTTCGGGAATGCAAATCCATCATTTGATTTTCCTTCCTCAACAACACAAATCTCTCTTTCAAAGCATTGTGAAAAATCATTCGTCAAAGCAAGATCCCAGCCAACCACTTGGGATAAGGAACCGAAAACAACAAAAGCATCATAGAAAAGCTTCTATCAAAAATTAAACTTAATATTTGAAACGTGGAAGGTTTCGAACCGTAATTTTAAATTTTTTTTGTACAGATGATATCATAATATTGTAGATACATATAATTTTTTAGGGATTATCTTTTTTTCGTTTATTCTTGTTGATAATGATGGACATTTTTCCTTTTTTTTTTAATCTTTCAATTTTACGCATTGTTTAGCATTCAAATATATCAAATCGCATTGTACAGTTATACACTTTAGTTGTTGGGTCTTATTTAGTAATAATGATTCCTTATTCTTTTTTTTATAATAATAATTTTGAAAAAAAAAAAAAATCTTTAAATAATAAATAATAATATTTCCTAATATTTAATTAATTATGATCCGTTTTGTTAATGTGTTTAAAATGGTTATCAAATGTAAAAGACTAAAATCGTAAATGTTATTCTAAATGAATCTTCGCTAATTTGTTTGAACCACATTTTTCTTTTCCATTATTTTTTTTTAAAAAAAAAAGGTTTCAAGAATTTAAAGTTTTTTTATTTTTGCAAGTAAAAAAAAATTACATGATCCAATTATGTAATACAAATAAATCGTTGTTAATCTATACTTGATTTGGCTATTAATAAATGGTATGTTTGTCTACTACGGATAATAACTTATATTGTTAAAGTAACCCATTAAAGGAAATGTCGCTTAAAAAGTTCTCTTTGAAAAAGAAAAACAAAAAAATAAAAAACAAAGGTAAGAAACAATCTTTTAAATTAAAACTAACTATATCAAACCTTATTTTAATGAATCAAACTAAATTAATCATTATTCTTTAACTTGATCTATCAAACCCCTACGTTACAATGATAATCATTATATAGTCTCACATAATACTAATGTTCAACCTACAGTTTTGTTCTTGAATGATTTCTTGATTGAATGTTTCACAACCTTTCAATGATAATATTAATGTATGTGAACGCGTTTTACGCGTAATTACTATTATTTCTAAACTGATTGAAATCAGGTTATTCGGGTTATTAAGGTTTAAAATTAATTTATTACAGGATCAAAAACTTGTTTTTTTTTCGCATTCAATTTTTCGATTTTTACACAAAACTTGATTCCCCACCTTTTCAAAAAATTTGGTTTGTGTTTAAAAAAAAAAAAAAAAAAAAATTAACCGAGATATCCGCAATTAGAGATTAACAAAATTCCGTTGGAAAATTCCTTTTGTCACGGTTCAAGTCTTCAACAGGTAGTAAACAAATAATCATGACATCACAACAACGTCGTTTTGTTATATTAAAAATTCTTTGGTTCTTTTTCATTTACAAAATGTTTTTCTTTAACCTTTTTGTATTTTTAATTTAAACAAATTTATTAAAGTAGGTTTCCGATTTCATTATCTCATTACATTATTTTGTTACAATTATTTCTTTATTCATTCATAACCGTTTAAATATTAGTAATTTCCCGCCTTTATATCATGACATGATTACTAAACTCTGCAAATGAAGTGCCAGCACATTTTTATTTTTTATTTTTATTTTTTTTTGAAAAAGAAAAAATACGTTTTTTTTATAAAAAATAAAAATAAAAAAAAGGAAAGAGAGACATGAAATAAAGAATATAGAAAGAAGAAATATATTAAAAAGAAAAGGAAAGTGAGAAACTATTAAAAAAATAAAAAAAAAAAAAACCATTGAAAAATATAAAAAAAAAGGGTGTAAATATTTATTTCATCGGAAATGAAAAAACGATAGATTGAAACCTAATCGTGATATTTACTTAATAATAATAATAATAAAAAGAAAAGAAATTCACACTTGCTCGCATTTAAACTGTTATTTCTGGACTTTAAACATGTGCTGTTTTATGATCTTGTTTATGTTTCGAACGGACTATACAAACCACCAGACTTGTTGTCTTACAAACATGCTGTGTACGAGAAAAATGTACTGAACGCCACTACTTGATTTAATAGAAATAACCTTTGGCGTTTTTTAGTATGAATAGAATGACACGATATTCTTGAATTTTGATTGGTAGTCATAAAACGTCGTTAAATACTTTAATCTTGCAAAAAAAAAAATCCGATAATAAATCGTACCTATCAAATAAATGTGTTATGTTTTCTCATACAAAATCAAAAAGGGTGACACACCTTTATTAAATTATCTTTAGGACACATGTAAAACGTCCATTCAGAGTTTATATGTAAATTATTTCCCTATGCGAGTAGTTCAATCATCTGCACAAGTTGTGTAGTGTTTAACAATCTTTATATCTTAGTGATCTAAAACAAAAACATTTTAAAATTATGATAAGGGAAAAATAAGAAAGATAATAATGAATCGATGTCGTGTTAACGGTATTAATAATGACAAAAGGTTCCGTGCATAGAATCTGTTCAATCCGTTTCAAGGATTAAGGTTTTTTTTTTAAAAAAAAAATTAAAAATTTGCCAAAACTTTTATTTCGGATCTTGACTTTTTTTGCTGCGTAACAGTTTTGCGCAGTAGAAGAAAATGTCCCCCAAAAATTTAATTCTGAAACAGATTAATATGAGCATGGCCAAGATCTGTGCATGTATGGATTTGTCAGTGATTTCACGGGATTAGACTTTTCCTTCCGTCAATTCTAAACTAAGAATAAATGCTTGTCATTATATCGAACTTAAATTTTTTTTTAATGATACAATGAAAGTTTATAAGGTATATATGGCTTTATGATAGTAAATGTCGTTCATTTAATTTATTTTTGAAGTTACTCCGGATTCATATATATCTTTGTGAGCGCGTCGGACTCAACCAAAACAGGGTGCTTTTACATGATACTTGCGCAGAATCAACGTTCTTGATTCGGATTTTGTTATAGAAAAAGTAAAGCATTCGACACAAGATTATAAATTAACCCTAGAACTTTTAAATCCTAAACCGTTTTTTATATAAATGTATCATGATCATCTGCATGCTTCTTTTTTATTCATGTAAAAAATTACTTCAATGACTTTATTCATGTCAAATGAAATTCAATGATTTTTAGTACTACATCTCTAAATTATATAAGTTATGTGTACGAGAAGAACAGACAAAGATCAAAATTTCATTGAAAGGGTTATAATAATAATTGATTTTGTGTAGCGAGTGATCTTGGGATTCATGTAATGTATGTCGTGTGTCAATTATGGTAAATTTTTCTCATCACACATTAGATTCCACATGATACTAGGAAAAAAAAGAAAGTTGGATTTATACTTCAAACAACATATTGACAAAGTTACAACGACATATTGCATGAAGTGATTGTTTAATTTCAGATTTTGAAATAAAAGTTCTTGTCAAAATAAGTGCCCAATTACTTTTTTTTTTTTACGCCAAAAAATTTTAATGCTTTTTGCTACATTACTGACGTGCTCGGCGCATCATTTTTTATTAAATTATTCTGGTTTTTAAACAAGTTTTATTCACGAGTTTAGTCCTATTATGGTTAGCTTGATTCATAAGTCCCGACTCGATTAAATTACGCGCAAAAGGTGATGATTTGATATTTAGATTCTAAAACTTTTAGATAATAACGATTAGGTTTCCCAATTCTAGATATGGTTTAAGGGAATACTTATTATACAAAAGTTTAGGTTATATGAATTACTTTTCTAAGTCACACTTGCATAATTCATTGTCTTCGATGGCATTAAATGAACTCGTTAATCGTGAAATTGCTTCGTTTTTTTTTAATTGATGTATCCTTTACTCAGTTACGACTCAGTGTATTTTATTAGGAAGATACATTCATTGTATAATCTCAACTAATGATCATGCATACGAATGTGCATTTATTTTGGGGCAAATTTCTTTCGATGTATATAAACTGTTTATAGGCATTGGATCAGTTCGTTTTGAGCAAGTCAAATGATAAATGCATGATTCAACATGCAATACGCGTGTTATTTCTAGGAAAAAAAAAAAAACAAAAAGCACTATTTTGTGAAATTCTTCATAATTGATGTCCTGTAGTCTAGACTACACCCCCGTTGCATATTCAGTAAATACACATCAATTTATAATAAACACCATAAATATGCACCTTTTGATAATTATATATTTGACGAAGTGAGAAACGTAAAGATTTATGATATTAGTACGGAATTTTTTGCGAATATGTAAAAATGAACTCTGAGTAATTGTCGGAACTTGTGAAGAAATGATAGAAAAAAGTTATTAATACGAATTACAGAATAGCAACAGAAGATCAAAAGAATTCGTCCCTTATACTCATCCTTGATTAACCCACAACGATTAGTAATGAAAGTCGAGAACTCCACCAAAGCCCCGAATTTTCCAGTCGAAAGACAAAACTGATTAACAGATTTACGAATTACGCACAAGTTCTGAAGGACCACCTCAGCGGGAAATTTAAATTCTACTACATCTTTCTATTTTTTACCCTATTCTAAACACCGAACACATGAAAAAGTTTACAGATTCACAAAATCACTTAACATGATGATTTTTTATGGTAAAGCTTGACCCAAAGGTCTATTTATTAACAAATTTCAAAACAAATTATTTCTGACTTTTTTGCGCTTCAAACTTTCGGCCATTAAATCTTAATTATTTTATTTTACATTATTATCAATAGATATTTTGCATATCCGGCACAAAGCCAGTAAGAACTTGTGATGCGACGTGAGTGGGATTTGAAAGTATTTGCCAGACGACATTATTGGTATTTGTATTACGGGTATATTCTTACTTCGGTCGGATTTGCATATCGATCGATCGATATTCCTTCCCAACTAATCAATAACAGTAAGATCAACAAAGTAGCCATTATTATTTGTCTACTTGCTTCTACACCATCATCAATCCATCGTAATATTTTACGATGAAAATCCTGCTGTATGAACGTAATTCGACAATGAAATTCGGGGCAACTGGTGGAAATGCTTGACATCTCTCAGCATCTGACAGAGCATTCCATCTGAAGTAATACAATATAGAATTAAAAAATTGGTGCTAGAAATACAAACTATTTATATTTACATTCAAACTTCAAACCTGGCACTTAAAACAACAGCAACATCAGGACCTAGAACGGCGGGTATATCATTATTAATGGTATTGGACAATGTATAATAAAGTTTGATTAAAAAAAGATGGACATGAAAAAGAAAATGTTTAATGTAATGCTTGCTTAATATACTTGAGAGCCACCAGCCTTTCAGACCAAATTCCGGTTGTTAAAGACCCAGATGTAAACTTGTCTAATAATTTCAAAATTCTCTTCATCTAAATATGTATATGGTTTAGGGAACAAAGCAATACTTTAGTTATAAAGTAGTGATCTAAAAAATTACATACTGGTTATACTTGTTTCTGGAACTATTATTTCAAGCTGTCCCTCAATGAGGTTCATTCGAAGAAAACGATGGTTTGCGTTCGCAGCTTTTTCGAACTGTTGTAAAGTACAGTCAGGAATTAAAATATTCTGTGGGAAGTAGGAAGTCATTTTTGAAAAGTACAATAATATTAAAGAAAAAAAATAACGTGTTCTGTTAAGCAGATCACATGGATCAATCAATTGACTGACGTGACTGACTCTCCCCATTCATAATTTTCTTACCTTCCGGTGAATTACTTTGACGCCTACGCCATTTGAAACTCGAAAAGGAAGCATGTCTTTGAATGATACTGCGGTTGGAAAATTTTATCATATTAAAATGAAATTCGTGTAACCATATTCGTATCACTTTCATTTTATTTTTGTTCATTACACAGGTGTATCTACAGTAAATTAAGTAATTTAAGATCCCTTTTAAAGTACATAGTATAGTTACATAAAAGGAATTTCTTAGGTTGGAAAGGTGGGTATTCAGATGGATTTTATGTTATTCAAAAAATCGTTTTTTTATAATAAAATAAGATTTATTATTTTTATTTTAATAATAGTTTTATGAAAGATTTTTATGTATTTACAAAGTTTTTTTTAGTTTAATTATAGGAAATATGTATTTTTTTTTTTTACCAATATATTGTTAATAAATGTCTACAAAAATCAATTTATGATGGCTCCAATAACTTTAATTTTCTTTCTATCCCATCCATCTCAATATTATTTTAAAATTACTAATATTTGTTCTATTTCTTTATTAGTAGAAAAATTTGCTGTCATCTAATGTTGAAGGATTTTTTTTTTCAGATTGTGATGTTATATAACATGTGATTTTTACTTTCTTTATTGGTGATAGGCTTTCTTGATTATCTTCTACAATTAAGCATAAAATTTGTTCTTATTAAAGTTAATTGTTTGACAATTGAAACTTTCATTTAATTTATTGATATTAAAATAATTCTTTTTATAAAAGATTTAACTTGTAAGTTAATTTCTTTAGCTCTCTTATCTATTACTTTTATTTTTTTTTCAGCTTTTTAGTATCTTTAACTTTGCTAATTATAACTCCTTTTGCTTTTCTTTCTTTAGTATTTATTGGTTTAATTTTTAATACTTCTTGATAATAAATTACTTTCAATCTTTCTAATTCAGCTTTATAACATTTAGTAAATTTTGACATTCTTTCAAATATATATAATTACAACTTTAAATAATTGATAATTTATAAATTCTTTAAAATTTAAATGTTTTTACAAATGAATTTATCAAAAATCATATAGCTTCTTTTCTTTAATTAACCAAATATGTTCTCTAATTATTATATAATTATCAACAAATTCATTAAATAATAAATCCATTTCTTTCTCTTTTAATTTGTAAGTTTATTATTTGATTTTTTAATTATTTTCATTAATTACATTACTATATATTTTCTTTAATAAATTTTATTTCAAATGTTTTTAGTACTTTATCAAAAGCATAATAATATCTATCCTATTTAGATTAACTTATACCAACATTAATTTTTTTATTTTTGGATATATTTCTAATAAAATAAAAAATTAAACAGTTAATTTAATATTATTTAATTTGTTAGCTACTAGAAATAAAGCTGCAAATGCTATTAAAGATTTAAGTTATGTATTTATATTTTCAATATGAATTCCTACTCAATATAATTTCTACTAACTATTATATTTATTAAAACAAAATTATATTTTAAATAAGCTATTTATTCTATCTTCAATTTAAAAAAAATATAGAATATATTTATATTGATCAACTAATAGCTTTTTATATTAGATCTAATATACAACAAGTTAATCTATAATTAATATTTGATTCTAATTTGTTAAAAATTTTACATTTAAAATAGTTGCTAAATTATAGACATTAAAACTTGAAAATAAAGTTAATAGAATACTACATATATCTTTATAGTATATTATTATTAGCTTAATAAAGGTCTAATATTGATATTTATCTCATATAATTTGATTACATGTTAAAAATAGTCTTGTCACAACATATTTTTATTAATTTATATTATTTAAATTTAAAGTTTTCAAAGTATTTTTTATAAGTAACAAAAATCTTACTATCTTAATTAAGATTTTCTATAATTTCAAGAATAAATAACTTTAGAAGCTATATATTAAAAATCAATATCAATTTGTTCAATAATTTAAGTATTTATAATATTACAATTAAAATCTTATAAATATTTAATTAATTGATTATTTAAAAAAAAACTTAATAATTATTCAATTATTATTTCAAATCTATTTAGCATTTCTTTAATATATATATTGATTTAATCTAAATAAATAAGTTTTTCATTTAGATTAATTGTTTTTTCATTAATTAAATTAAATGATATTAGTAATTCAAACTGAAATAATATTCTTAAAATAACATATGGGAACACTCATAGCAAAAGCTAGGGTACAGATCGAGTACGTGATTTTATGATTTTGTGATGATCATATGCCTATTAGTCTAACCATTTAGAAATTAAGTTTTTCCATTTATAATATACAAATAAAAAGTGTGTAAATTTAACATTTTTTTTTTATTTTTTTATTTTAAAAAGGCGTAAATTTTAATTTTTTCTTCTTCTTTTATTTAAAAAAATTTGTATTTTTTCAATGGTTGTTTTTAAATATAGAACACAGCATTCACTTATTCACTTTAATAATGATGATGCAAATAAAAATATATTGACCACTTTAAAAGAATTGGATAATATCTTTTTTGTTGAAAATTCAAGTTCTGATGAAAAAATGCATCAGATAGTTCAGATAATAAAGTTGTTTCTAATCCTAATGATGTTGAAGCTCTTTGAAGAAATTTTAAACAAAAGGCATTTAAGTAACTTTGAATTTATAGAAAATTCTGATAATTTCATTGAGAATAAAATTTACGATAATTTAGATTAGAAGTAAAAAAATTTTTTGAAAGTAGGAAATGCATATATAGTTTAAAGTGTTTTGAGAAAATTAGCTATAAACAATTTCTTGCATGTCAAGTAGAATTTAAAAGTTTAGATAAGAATATGCGGATTTTATTATGAAAGAACAATTTATGGCCATTTAAAAAGATGAAAATACAAAAAAAGTAACTGTTAGTAATAGAAAAATTTTACATTTTAAATACTATTTTAATAACAGTATTCCAATTTGTCATACCACATATCAGACTCTCATTGGTATAAGTCATACATATTTAAATAATGAAATAAAGCATTTTTGAGAGAATGGTCTTGAAGAACGTATATATGATAATACAAGTAGAATTCTAAAAAGTATAAAATGTGTTCAAGTAAATTATAATGTAGCATATGAAATTTATAAGTTTTTAAAAAATTATGCAGAAATACATAGTTTACTCCCATTTAGACGGAATTTTAATAGAATATCTATGTCAGTTATATTTCTTCCAACAAGTTATAATTATACATCAGTATATCGTTATTATGTATGAGCTTATAAGGATGAGAATGAAAAAGAAAAATGTGTTTTATCTGAATAAACTTTTTGTAATATTTGAAAAGTTATAATATCATCAATTCAATTTATGTCTTTAAAATCTAATTTATGTGAAAAATGTGAAACAATAAAATTAGACATTCAGTATTCTACAGAATATGAAAAAAAATTGGCAGTTACAGAAAAATACTTAGCTCATTTAAATCATACAAAACAAGAACGTGATTATTATAATGTTAATATTAAGCAAGCAGTTGAGAATAGTAAACGCAATCCTAATAAAATTGGATCTCAAATATTATTTAAATCTTTTGAAGGTAGTGTTCATATTATATATTATTAGGTGTAAAATGTATAAATTCCTTATTCATCACAACAAATAGGAACTATATTTTTTAAAAGTTCTCGAAAGGTGTATTTATTTAGAGTTTGCAATACTGTAAACTTTTCATATACAGAACAGATTAATTATGTGATTGATGAAGATGAAATGCCTGATGATGGTAAACAAGGAAAAGGTGTAAATTATACAATGAGCTTGGTTTGGTATGCCATTCAGAAATATAATTGTGGAGAAAAAAATTGGTTATTACATGTGATAACTGTGTAGGTCAAAATAAGAATAATTATTTTTTATTTTTTTATTCATATTTAATTGATTATGATTTTTATGAAGAAATTGAGTTAAATTTTATGATACCTAAACACACAAAATTTATTTGTGATAGCTGTTTTGGCCTAATTAAGATACTTTATCGAAAAATTAGAGTAAATATCATAGATCAATAATGTGCATTTTATACTTCTAATGATAAAAAATTTGATTAGAAGCTTCCAATCCAAATAATTTTATTAATAAATTGTGCTTCCAAATCTTTCAAAGGTACTTCCAAAGGTGCTTTAATCTTTCAAATGCATATCACTGCTATAGATGATATGGTTTCTTTATTAATTGTTCTACCATAGTTCATCTTAATACTTTCTAACGCTATTTAAATGGAGAAGGTTTTAAGTATTATAATTTTAAAGATTATTTTCAAATGTTCAAAAAAAATACCTAATATTCAAAAATATCATCATTTTTATTTTACCTCACAACATTCTGTATCTGTTTTTTTACAAAAATAGACTTGAAGATAATTATAAAGAAGCAATAATTCGTACTTTTTTCTATGCTATCAATATTTTATCATCTACAATTAGTTTTAAACCTCTTTCCTTGAAAAGACAAGAGGAATTATATAAAGAAATTGCATCTTTTGTTGAATTACCCTTTCGTAATACTATATGTTCTAAGCCAAATAAACACAAAACAAATTAGTAAAAATATTGTAAATATGTTCAAAATTTTACATTATCAAATAAATAAGCTTATTTTTGCTTACTTATTATTATTGACATTCCTATTACGTTTTTTTATTTTTTTTATTATACCTTTAAATATTGAAATCTTGAAAAAATCGAAGTTTTTGGGTGAATAAATTTGTTTATTTTTTACAAAAATATTACACTAACTTTATTAAAAATATGCATCATATAAATTTCATGGCTTAATAAAACATATATATCTAAAGAAAGCTAATGGTATTAATTAAGTGCTTGCAAAATTTCATTATAGATTATAAAGGC